GCTTATCTATTTACTAGAACATCACCTAGAGATTTGTATATCCTCACTTGAGTAATAACTGATTGTCACTACAGATGGCTTTCAGTTTTTCAATGTCTTTTTTGATTTACAGAGCGAAAGCCGTGGAAAATGAGTTGTTATATAACACACCCTTGTACGCACAGATTATAGAGAAGAACTGAAGTACAAATCATAATCTAATAATATTTTATAGCCTATGTCAATGACAAATGTCCGCTCGGCTCATTTGGAAACTGGTTTATCTTCTGTTTCGACTCACCTGCTGAGTTCAAGTGGAAATCTGATTGAATGGAGTCTTTAAGGAAGATTTATGATCTTTTTTTACTGTAATGTTTTTTTGTATGAAATTGTTACGATTATTAATGGATTTTAAAAGACATGCTAGAAACACTGAAGCAGGTATGTTCCATGGTCATCATTTCATAATGACTTGTACCACAGTTTTTTAGTGATTAGTGCATTTTGCTGGAGTGCCGTATTAATATAATTCACAAACCTCAGTGGGCTGTGCTGTCAGTCTCCCTAGCTTGCTGTTCATGTCTGTACATTGCCATAGTGAATTGTAAAAATACTTATCCAGCAAGAGCACTGCTGTACCATTCTTAAGGACTGCAGTACTTGAGCTGTTTTTTAATTCTCTTACCGAATCCTCTGTATGGAACTGATGTTTTTCTGAACTCCTCTAAATTCCCAGCTTTCCAAAGTCTCTAACAAGTGAAGGATTAAGGAGATCTGAGAGTTTTGCTTTTAGGACTAGATATTGTGGTCTCATTTCATAAAGATTTGAACAGAAAGAAAGCAATTTTGTGATATGCTCTATATGTTTGATTTACATAAGAGCTTTAGTGTTCATCATCTCAGATATACTGTATTTAGAACCATTCTGTCTTTTGTTCTTCATATGTCCAAAGCTAATGTAACAGTCTACCACAGAACTAGAATTGCCTGTGGAAATTTGATTATCTTTATAAGCGATCATCCCATGACTGGAGGTTGTGTTGAAGCCACATTTAGAAGATTTTTAAAACATAAATTATCATGTTTCACTATTGCCACTCTAAACATTAAATATTCAAACTTTAGAGCCTTTTCTCTCTGACTTAGGTTTTAAAACTAACCTTATGAAATAGTTATGTAAACCTCAGTCACTGATTCATGCTTTGTTCTTCGCAGCTAAAAAGTATCGGTCACAGTCATCAATCTTGCTGTATTTCAAGCAGTAATAAAATTTGATATCTTTGAAGTCACTTCTGCTACAGGGTGCAGTAAAGTCAAAGAGTTACTTTTTCAGTAAAGTTCCCAATTTTCAAAAATAATCTATGAGAAGCAAGCGCACCATAAATAAAGGAATGAATACAAAGTAGTCATAAAGTTCAGGGGTAGTGCAGAATACAGTTTAAGGTTCTGGATTCATCTCTCAACTACACACACACACTGAAGTGGTTATTATTGTAAGGAATTCCCAATGAAGAGATATGGGGATCCTGTGCAGACGCAGGAGCAGGTAATGTCGAGGCAGGCGAACAATCCGGAACGTCAGGCGAGATCGTGGTCGAAAAGGAGAAAGGTGGTTCGAAAAACAGGAAGTACAAATAGAGGCAAACAATTCGAATCGAAAGGCAAGGTCAAGGGTCGAGAGGCAAAAGAGAAGTCCAGAATTCAGAGGCGTGCGAAGTACAGAATAGCCACCAGGTAGAGCTCTCAAAGAGTAGACTCCGTACCGAGCAGGAAGAAGCGCGTTTGAACGGCTTAAATACTGCAGCCGGCCGCATGGTAGGGCGTGTCGTGCTGAGTTAACACATGCGCCAGCGCTTGTAATCATCGGCCCGCTGCCGGCACTGGTCAGCTCTCTTGGGGGCTGGTCTGGGCAGGCTGGCGGGCGTGACAATTAAGGGAAATTTAATTAACAGGGGATCATAATACCCCATTAGGGAACTATGATCATAGTATGTTATACTTTAAGTCACATTTTGTAATAGTACATTTAACATTTACAGTCAAGCAATGTGTATTTGTGATCATGGAATTGTTATGAATGACAAGTACAGTACATTATCCCTTTTATTTTCAGGTATTCATTTTTTTCCATGCATGCATCTGATCATATTAGAACAGAAAACTTACTTTGTGTTCACACCTGGTGACCAGGTGGTTTCAGGTGACTGTTAGCACTGGAACACATTCACCTTGAGTAGGTTTCAGGGTGTGAAGGACAGTGCTGGTTGCACATGCTTCTGAAAAAATAACTGCATGAAGTCTGTGGTCCATTAAGCTCATCCAGAACTTTCATAATTTTACAGCTGGGTAAGATGACATTTGTGGCCTCTGCAATGGTAATTAGTAGAAATCCCATGATATTTGCATGCTAATTACATGTCACATTAACTGAGTAGGGTCGTGGAAAGCCAGCAAGTCAGAGAGATAATCAACAGCAGTGTTATGGCTGGCTTGGTAATTGAAAATATGTAAATCTGGTGAGTAATTTGCTGTTGATATTTGGATTCATCTCCCAACAGGTGATTACTACACACACTGGACTGGTTATTAAGGGAAATTTATTTAAGGTGATCATAGTACTTCATAGGGAACTATGATCATAGTATGATATACTGCACTTGAACAGTAGGAGCTGGTTGCTATTCAGTACAGCTGTATTTGGTGCTGTACACTGTATGTAAGTCTGGTGTTGTATAATTGCTACTGCCTGTTAATGTGTTGCAGGGTGCAATGGTATGGATGAAACTTCCATGGAGTTGCTATCTTTTAACCTTCAGTGTCCAAATATAATTTTTCTATTTTAAGAAAAGCAGACGTCATCATATGATGTGCCTACAGAAAGACATCTTTTAAATAATATGCTACAGGAAATATCATACTCAATAAAGACACCTTGGATACTAATTATGTGATCATTCTAAGCTCTGGCTTTGTAGAGTAGCTGTTCATAACCTGTTGTGTATGGGGATTGTTGCGTGTGGTTAGTGAGATCGTCCTAATTTATCTAAAGTTTATACATAAACTCTAACATGGAAGTGAATCTTACGACTTTGCATTTTTATATTAGAACTAGTTTCATTTTTATTTTTTTCAAGTAAAAGAAAGCATTACAGCATTACGGGTTGATTTAGAATTCTGTCACAGCTTTCATTGTGAATTAAAATAATGCATACATGTTTTTTAAATGTTGTTTGTGCACTTGTGTGTCCATTACTGTTGTCGCTTTTTACAAAGTCTCACAAGTTAACTGCCCACTAGGACCACATTTCCATGACTCATGTTGCATTTTCTTTTTTCACATTTTCCACATTCCTAATACTGAATGTGATGAAGAACAGTCCATTAGAAAGCTCAAAACATCTGTTTCAGTTTCAGTTTATTTCATTAAAAAAATTTGGGTTGCCATGGATTTTGGAAACATAGTTCAAATTATTAACAAAAAGACTTTCCTAAATTTTAATCTGCATGGATAATAACTGAAATGAAAGCTGTTAAAAAAGAAAAAAAATTGACTTTACACACCCCACTGCCCTATCTTAAAATGGAACTTGAAAAGCGTTGTAAATCACTACCACTTAATTCTAATTTCGTTTAAAATGCTGCAGATCGTATAAGTTAAAATCAGAAATAGCAATAAAAGGAGAGATGTGCACGAATATCCACCTGGCTACACTTGTGAAACACTACTTATCTGTCACAGGAGTCAGAGATTAGACAGTTTTTATTTGAAGTGGAAGGCCTCTGGATGCCTCCTTTCTGCTACAGTATGTCCTCTGCAGATGCGCTGTGTCAGCTTTGCCACAACCAGCCTGTGAAGTTCTCTTCCTGAACCTGCAGTGCAGCTCGTCGTGAGGCCCAGCGACAACAATCCGATTGAAACCCCTTGTCTTCCGTGTGCTGAACTGTTCTTCTCCAGGCGCGGCCGTTACCTACATTATAAGAATCGGCCTGAGGAGGTGAAATCTCAGCTGGCAGCAGGAGCTCTTCACGTCTTCGAAACGGAGGTGGCTCAGTAACGCACAGTCATGAAGCTTCCTGACCTGCATTTGTTATAGGTGGCTGTGTCGTGCCTGCAAGGCTGCTTTTCTCGGCTGAGTCGGGGCTTGGACCTGCTCCAGTCTTGACCATGTTAAAGGAAAGTCTTCACTTTGGCGCTGCAGTGTGGTTCGTTATTTACTGCGATCTTAAGCAGCACCATGTCTCCTTGACAATTTATTGCCCTTTTGCACCAAGTGAGGATGTGTGGTCAAGCTCGCTTGTTAGGTGACTTGTACAGTCCCAGGCTGTGATACACCAGGCATGGAGCTGGTGTAACATGGTGTAGAGCACACAGTGCTGTACCTGCATGGTGAGCGTGTACACCTGCATGAGCTAGTAACTTAGATGGCGGTTTCAGCACGCACAGCCCTAGAAAGGGCAATACCCACGAAGGATTTCCAGTTCGATAAAAGGGCATTAACTATTGTGAACCTTTGGGCTTCACTGCCTTTTTCAAGTGAGTAAAGAACATTTTACGAAAAACCTCTGGTACTGTATAATAGCCCTGAAAACGGGTCGGTTGTCTCTCAACTTTCATTTCCATGAGGGCATGTTGTTCCCTTCCCAGTTCTTGTGCATGCCATCTGTTTGTTTGTTTTTTCCCCACTTCTAACAGGCCACTTTTTTAAGACCGAGAACTCAATAGACATCTGTCTTGGACACTATCATATGTTTGTCCCATGACTAGTGCAAGCGCTCCGCATGTGATGCTGTGGCCGCAGCCGTGCGAATTCACAGATTTTCACCTCGTCCTGCTGGTTGTCTCCGGGCCAGCTCGCTGGAAGCTGTGACGCGCTGGCTCAAACACCGGCGAGCGGGGGGGAGAAGTGAGAGCTAGCCTGAGGCCTGCGAGGCCTGCTGTCCTTTTGAAAAGCCCAGGTTCAGCGGCGGGGAAAGGAAAGGCCCTGACCGATATCTGATCTTGGTTTGTTCCCCGCCCGCAGGAATGGCGCCAGACCTCTGAGTGCAGAATGATTCTCGTCCTGCTGCTCCTCCAGCTGGCCTCGACCGGCAAAGGCAAGGAGATTCAGACACATGGAGGGAAGGAGGAAGGTAAGCAAGGAAAGATGAAAAGCGGGTGGAGGTTGATGCCTAATTAAAAAAAAACGGGACCTTCCAGAATTACGGGAGAGGAACCGTTGTCTGAATGGTGGGAAGTTCCAATGCTATTAGCAATGAACAGCCACACAGACCCACCTGTCCCCCAACAGGTGTCTTATGCACAACACATCTCTAAATATGATGTTAAGAATAAGAAGCTGTAGCTCTGTTTATTGCTGAGGGAAATTAGGTGATTGTGCATAATGAAAGCATAACCCTAAAGTACTTTCACTATTTAGATTTGCTCAATGCTGCTCAGCTGAATTCACACTGATAAATAAACTTGGAACGTTCCTATTTTTCTGCTTCACATTTGTGTAAAAGTTCTGATTCCCAGTATGCTGTTGATTCTACCGAGGTCAGACTCCTCAAAGATTGGCAGCTGGCAACCCAGTATGGGACCTCCTGTCACAGCCTGAGGAGCAGTGAAGCTGTCTCTCAATAATGTTCTGTGTGTTATGTTGTATGTAAATGTCCTATGATGTATTTGTATCGTAAATGCATATAGATAGAGTATTGATTGTATGTGCTTTGGCAACACTGTAATTTGCCAGTTCATAAATGTCAATAAAGCTGTTTGAATTTGAATTTGAAGTGCTGGGCTGCAGATGCCCTTCCTACGGGCTCCTCCTGACATAATAACATCTCAGCAGGACAACACGCATCCACATCCTGCTCATGGAACAGCAGCTTTATTGCACAATGAGAAAGGGCACTGCTCAGCTGCCACAGTTCATGCCCTGCTCATCAGATATAAGCTTTTTGCGAAGAGCTGGAAAGATGTGTGACATACTGTATAGTCTTCAGAGTACAGACTGCAGCAGAAGAATGGGACACTGTAGCACAAGACAGCTTCTGAAGTCTTGTGGAAAGAGTGCAGAAGTACGCTATGTATTGCCTCCAGTGGCAGAACATTATACCTGATCATGCATTACTAACCTCTGACTTTCACAGTAAACCTCCGGTAGATCAAGGTGAATCAGCATAATTCATTTAGCAATCATGTTCTTTTCAATTAAAATTTCAGTGCATGCACCTGCTACAAAAAAGTTTGTCATTTTCCTGAACATAGCACTGTGAATTTGTTGCACATACAAAGGACACATTTCTTCTTATGCTCACCAAAGATGGGGCAGCATTGTTTAGCTGAATGAACCCAGAAATATTACATTAAGCACAATGTCATGTTTCCTTAATTAAGATGTCACCTTAATTGGTTTGAAGTGTGGAAATAGGCCTAATGTGTGACTCATCACGGTCTAATGAAGTGTGTCTTATAACAAGTAAGGTCTTTAAAGAATGTGGACCCTGAGCTATCTGGAGGGCGGCGATGTAAATGAATGATTATATGTCCATTTATTCATTTACAGTAACTGCTTTAGGTAGAAGTGGCTTAGGAACCTGGCAGGCACTGGATGCAAGAGGGGTCTGTATCTGGAGGGGATGTCGAGCCATCACAGAGCACACACTCCTAAGCAGCAATTTAAAGATGTAAATTAATCTCAGCGGTATCTTTGAACTGTGGGAGGAATGTGGAGCCTGGAGATGCCCCCAGGCCAAAATCTGTCCCAAGACCCAAATGAAAACCAGTCCCATGAAAAAGTACTTTGTGCAGCTCCTGGCTGTCCTCAAGTGTGCGAACACGCTTATGCAGAACAGCAAAGATACAGATGTAATCATGTAGTGTCTGCCAGAGCTAAGCTCCTTGCTCTTAGCAGACATGCTTTTGGATTTTAAATGAATACACATAAAGGGTGACGGCCATTTAACACAAGTTGAAATTCAGATATTCAATGAGTTCTGTAACAGCATGAATTATTGGAAGTTTTGACAGTTTCATTCATACTGGCTCCAACTCTCACCTTTAGTTTTGCAGCAGTTTTAAAAAATATCTGTTGAATGTGTGAACCATACATTCAACTCTTTCATGAGCCATATCATAGTTCTTTCAACATCACCTTTCTGTTTCAGTATACACCTTTTTTCAGCCCTCTGAACTCTACATCTGCTGTGTCCCTCAATTGAAAGGATACCTGTTTAATGAAAAATCTACTATAAGAGTTAAAGGGTTAAATACTGTATACCACAGTCTGTTTTTTTTCATGCCGGCTTGTGTGATGGACACAAAATTAGTTCTCACATGGACAGATAGATTTTTGCATCACTGGTTTATTGATTTGCACAGCTTCGGCAGGCTTCCATGGGTGAATGATTCTGCTTATTCCAGCTGAAAAGACTGTAAAGACACCGGTGCATCAGCAGCTGTTGGAGGTCTTAATCTATCAAGATAAATTGGAAATGTGAGCTATAAAGTATTTTTATTTCCAATGGCTTAAATTCCAAAGCTACCGTGCCTTTACATAAGTAAATCTAGTCAAATAGTTAGAGAAATTACATTTTGCTATTTTTTCCTGATACTGTATGCCTGAATTTTCTAGATACATTTAAAGTTCCCCAGAGTTGTTGACAGTCAACCCAGTTGCCTTCTTCAGAGTCAACTGTTAAGCCTGAAGCAGAGGACATATACGTTAAATTGCTTTTAAAACTAAGAATGGGAGACATTGTGTTGCACAAAGGTCTGTGCAAGTCTGGAATAAACTATGTAGCCGTGTTATCAAAGCTGATACCCTGGCTTCTTGCAAGAATTGACTGGATGAGATCCTCCAAGCCATTAGCAACTGACAAACAAGCTACATGGGCCAAATGGCTTCTTGTTACTAAGTTTTCAAGCTGGAACAGATGTTTCATTTTTCTGTTCTTAAGCCCTTTCTTTTCTCCTGAGACAGAAGACTAACTCTTTGTTCCGAGAGGTCTTTCTGATGCTCTGTTCCCAACAGCAACAAAGAAGGGCTGCATCACTGATTCCTGACCTATTTTGCCAACTGCTCAACTCAGGCCCTCCCAACCTGGAAAAGAGCCAGTTTTCTGTAGCATCTGCAAAGCTGCAGAGATCATGGTAAAAATATGCCCCATTTATTCAAGAACTGTTCTTCCAGCAGTGAAAGCAAGGGATAATGTGTGGTGTATTCAGTCCGAGGGAACGACATTGAATACAGTTTTGCTCCATGTACAATTCATGTTCTACCCTGCTCTTGTTGTAGCAGGAACCCAGTTGTTAGTTAAGCGTTATGCACCTAATGCAAACTAGTTTCTGTTTCCCTCTGTAGCCAGTCTTTAAAAGGCACAACAGCGCCTGCACTTTCTGCGGTGCTTAAAGCAATGCAGTGTGGGGAAGCAGCTCCTCATGAACTTTTACCACAGCAGCATAGAAAGTGTCCTCGCTAGTGGCATCACTGTGAGGTACAGCAGTACTACCGTGCATGACAGAGACGCACTACAAGGGCTTGTGGCAACGGCACAGAGGATTACAGCATGTGACTGACTGTCAATCGGTGAGATTCACACCGTCTGCCATCACAGTAAAGCCCAATCCATCATTCAAGATCCCGAACTCTCCCAGCCACAGACTGTTTGTTCTCCCCCCTGTGCTCTGGCCAGCAGTACCACACTGTTCAAACACAGACCACTAGACTGAAGAACAGCTTCTACCCCACTGCAGTACGCATCCTCAACAGCTCACTGTAATGCCTTAATATACATCTATGCATCTAATATACGCACTTTTTACCTAGTCTACCATTTTGTTTCTTTTGCTCTCACTACTACATATTTATTTTTCCACAACATATTTATTGTTCCTGTCGTCTACATTGTGTGGTGTTGTCTCTTGTGCTGTGTTTGTCCCGAGAGATCAGCACGATTAAGGATTGCCATGTACAGTACGTGTACATATGCCAATAAACGCCTCTACTCTGAAAGCACCTCCATGGAGATTGTACTCTGATGTGACCTACTTCGGTGACAGGTTAATGGAGGAAAGCTGCAAAGTTACAATTTAATGTTGCTGCTCTGTACAGACAAAAAATAAGGTTTATTTAAGGAAAGATGAGCTCTAGGTCAGTGCTTGCCCCCTGGAGTGTAATTTTTTGCAGCCACTGTTCCTGTGTGGGAACTGTAATAAAGACTTAACAATCCTGCTCCTAATCCTTTATGTACTGAGTGTTATCTCGGGGTACTGCAGGTCAGTGACTATTCATCTTCTCTACATGCGCTAGTGGGCTTTAAGCCTGTTTAGACATATGGTTTCAATTTTCACACCTACAAAATTTTACAGCAAATGTTTTTTGTTTTGCTTTCAGTATATGAAATAACACGTCAAAGAGGTTCTGTTGTCACAGTTGTTAAAAAAACCTATTGGATGGAGGCTAAAATACGTTTTTTTTATTTCTTCAAATTGACAGTAGCAAAACAATTAGGGATAAAGTTCTCAGAGACAGGAACAGGAAATGTTTTGACAATGAAAGGGAAATGGCTGATTCATTAAACGAATATCTCTCTCATTTGTTTACCAAGGAACAAAATCAACAGTATGTCTCGAGCAGAAGCAAAACCAAAGTTCCATCATAAATAATATTTGAAGAAGTTGAAGAATCTGTTCTTACTAGATACGAGTGTTTAAAATAAACACAACTCCAGGGCCTGAAGGTCTTCTTTCAGCTGTATTTAAAGAAGCAAGATGTGGTTCAAAATCCCTTAGTAAAAGTCTTCCATCAGTCACTTAGGACAGGAGTAGTTTCTATTGACTACCCATTGACTGGAAAATTGCTTAGCGCCCATCCATAAGAAGGAAGAAACAATGAAAATACCCAACCTAGAAATTAAGACCAATGCGTCTTAATATTTATTAGATGTAAGGCTACGGAAATGATCGTCAGAACTAGAGCAGAGGATATAATAAAGATGCCGTGCAAGATGTGACAGAGATCAGCCCAAAACAGAACTTCAGATGGGACGGGCTAGGAGGCGGTTGTGCCCAGAAATGGTACACTTGCACAGATAAAAATATTTCACATTTAGAAGCTATTGAAATAGATAAAAACTGCACTGAATTC